AGAGAAAAGGGAGAGGGGAGAGTGTTGAGAGCTTTGTTGGGGGTTACAAATGGGTAAGGGAAAATGAAGGGAAGAGTGGAGTTTTAAATTAAGAAATTAATGGGGAAGTTATGAAGAATTAAGAGGATTAAATAGGAATGATGGTGATGAGTTGTGGCGTGTGAGTTGGTGCTGGGAGTTACATCTCCTAATTTGTTCCGTTGTGTAAAATCTTACCTGATCGGTACGCGGTACTTTCCCCGAACGGGTCCGAATTGAGATCCGTTTACGTTTCTGGAATCAGACAGTCAAAACGAATATTATGACATAACCAAATAATTTTTCTAAGGATTTTATTTTCCAAACCCCGGTCCGAGTTAGTAATTAATTAATTAGATTAATCAATTCTAATAGACCGGGTCGCAGGGCGTTACAGTTCCGCCACACCGTTTGATTGGGGTGTGTATGGCGGAGTTACCTGATGCACAATTCCATGTTGTGCACACAATTCGGCAAATGGAGCTTCGTACTCCCCGCCCCTATCACTCCTAATCGCTTTAATTTTGCGATTGAGTTGATTTTCTACTTCATTCTTATACCGAATGAAAGGGTCCAACGCTTCATCTTTACTTTTAAGTAAATAAATATAGCAATACTTCGTGCTATCATCGACAAAAGTGATAACATATTTGTTACCACCTCTTGAAGGCGTTGATTTGAAATCACACAGATCCGTGTGAATTAAATCCAGTGGCTGAGTGGTTCACTCAATTGTTTGAAACGAACTTCGCGTTGACTTTGCTTCGACACACGTCTCACATTTGTGGGACTGGTCGATGTCAAACTTAGGGATATATTCCATGTTAATTAATTTCTGAAGAGATGCATAATTAACATGTCCTAGTCTTCCATGCCACACACTGGAGGACTCACAAACATAGGCAACAGGAGTTGTATTAATTTTCTCAACAACAGTGAGTACATTAAGCTTAAAAAGCCCATCAGAAATATAACCTTTGCCTATAAATATTCCCTTTTTGCTCAAGATCAGCTTATCAGACTCGAACACCATGCGGAATCCATGTTTGCAATAGTGAGCCTGACACCAAATTCTTTCGTATGTCTGGCACATACAACACATCATTCAGCGTGAGCTCCTTGCCAGATGTCATCTTGAGCTTAACTTTGCCCATGCCTTGAACCTCGGATTGGGCGGAGTTGCCCATCCACACCTTGTCGCCTGAAGTCTCCTTAAAGTCAAAGAGCATGGCCCGATTGGAGCAGATATGACGAGTGGCTCCAGTGTCAACCCACCATTCTTTCGGGTTAGACCCGACCTGGTTGACCTCTGTCACGACAGCATAAAGGTCCATAGCATCTAGCTCCGAGCAGAGAGCTTCTTCCTTCTTCTGCTTCTTCTTCTGAGGCTTCTTGCGGCACTCTGAAGAACGGTCGCCCGTAATGCCACAGTTGTAGCATTTCCCCGCGAACTTGGGCTTCGCGACGCCTCCTTTAGGACCAATTTTCTTCTTGTCCTTATTCGGCTTGGGCCCTTTGGAAGAACCCTCTTTGGATGGATGCTCCACCACATTGGCCTTAGCAACAACTACTTTCTTTTCGCGAGTGAGACCCTCTTCACGGATCCGAAGACGAACAAGCAACTGTTCTAAAGTCATTTCTTTCCGTTTGAGCTTGAGATAGCTTCAGAACTCATCCCAAGCTGGCGGGAGCACACGAATAATCGCCGCCACTTGGAATGCCTCACTGACTCCCATTCCCTCGTCAGTGCACTCATTAAAAATGAGAATCAATTCTTCAGCTTGACTGACCACGGGTTTGGAATCCACCATCTTAAAATCCAAGACCTTACCAACAACGAATTTCTTCGCACCGGCGTCCTCGGCCTGGTATTTGTTGGACAGTGTAGTCCATAACTCCTTTGCGGATGCAGCCCTGCTATAAACAGCATATAAGGCATCGCTCAAGCAATTCAGGATAAGGTTAAGGCACGTATAGTTATTCGCTATCCATGCCTCTTTAGCCTGAACTGTTGGCTCGTCCGCGTTCTCCCCCACAACAGGGGGATCCTCCCTCAAGTACCTCGCAAGGTTGAGGGTGGTCAGCCAAAATAACATCCTTTGCTGCCATATTTTAAAGCCAACACCCGTGAACTTTGCCGGTTCTTTGACAGAGTTCGCAGGCAGCATGACAGTAGGATGTCCGACCGGTGCGGATGTGAAGACACAAGTGTTCGGTCCAAGTGAGGGAATGACCGGTATGGCCGAAGCCATATTCGGTCCGAGTGGGGTGACCATTGCGGCCGTAGCCGCGGTTGGTCCAATAACCGAGGTGACTGGAGCGGACCCCATAGTCGCGCTCGATCCAACGAAGGTGGTGATCGGAGTGGACCCCATGGCCGCACTCGATCCAAAAGGAATGTTGATCGGAGTGGTCTGCCCAACAGAGCCACCCAATCCAGCCGAAACGTTCACAACCGGAGTCTCGGAACTACTCCCGTTTCCGGTGTGAGCGTCAAACCCGAATCCGTCCATACCCGCCATTGCGGACAGATATGACTACTACCTTAAGCTTGTTACAACTCTTGTACAGATTATAACGGACGGGGAAGATGAACGGCCCCGGAAATAAATAACAAATCAAATTCTGAATTTATAATTTATTCAGAATATTACAAAATAAATAAACTTGAAAATAAATTTCTATATCTTCAAACGGCCTTATTGTACGAGGACATTAAGGACTGGACAGCGAGGACGTTAAGCACTGGACAGCAATGTCTTTAAGCATTGGACAGCGAGGTCTTTAAGCATTGGACAGCGAGGTCTTTAAGCACTGGACAACGATTCAAAGACGTTATGCACAAGACTGCGAGGACATTATGCACTGGGCTGCGAAGACATTATGCACTAGGAGAGAATGCAGCGAGGTCTTTATGAATTGAACCTGCAAAAACACAACACTGTGGAAGAACAACGGAGTCGCCGGAGCTGTCCTTAAGGTAGTAGTGCCCGCCTACCGTACCGGAAAAACGTGGGCACTCTCCTCCCAGGATAAAACTGCTATCGTGTGTGGAGATTGTACGGACCAACCACACACCAACGAACAAGAACAACGTAGGAACGTTGGCGACCAAAAACTTTAAAGGGGATGGCCGGATATTTTGGCCGGAAAATCAAGAGCTCTCTCTAAAGAAAATAATAAAGTGTTTTCTCTTTTTCTTTCTCTCTACCTCACGCAAGGCACATAAAAAATGATGGAGAGAGCTTTGATTTTTATAACAAAGGAGTTTAAAAAATGTAACTCCTACACCATTAACCCATGGAATTAATCATGGCGTTTGTGGTGTGTTAATGGTAATTAATTAGCCATTAACACGTCCGTTACGCTACGCTCCGTTTAAAATTTGTCCCGAATAATTGGAGATTAATGACCAGTTAACTCCGTAAAAATGGACTAATTTTAAACAATACGTAAAAATTAATAAAAGAAGATTGGTTCAGTAAAATTGCAAAAATTGCAATCCTCACCATATTCTTTTATTAACGGGTTAACTTTGAAAATCAATTTCTCATTCACCCTCTACCATCTCTGGCGTATAAATTGTCAAAACATTTATCTCATTTAAGAGAACACATGCCCATTAATTAATGGTTAAAACCGGTAGTGGACCTATTGACAAATATACTCAAATTGGTCCATTTAATGCCAATTAAAATGCCAAAAATTCCACATACTTCTTCGATCTAGTCGGAATCCCACCACCGCTGAGAGTCAAAGAGCCGCCGCCGGAGCAATAACAAAGAACTCAACCATATGTCGTTCACGAGCAGCAGCCTGCGTGAGTATGTACCATCTAGATCTGATCGTGCACGAGACCTCTTGATTAGCGTTGTCATCATCCAGATCGATCACCAGTCGAGAGCTATCATTGTCCATCGTTTTATTGAATTTTCATGATTGCTGTCAATTGTTGAGAAAAATAAAAGGGACAGACAGTTTAAAAGGTCAGCCCTTTGTTTTATTAAAAATTTGTATTCAACATAGAAAGGTTTCTTTTTGGGTGGAGATCCAAAGTTTCCAGGTGAGAAAGATGTCTAGTTTGAACATTAAAATTGACAAGTTTACTAGATGAAACAACTAGGCTTCTGGGCGCTGCTATCTAGGAAATCAAAGGTAACGAAATCAGATGACAATGAGTTGATTAGTTAGGCAGAAAAAGCTCATTCGATGATCATGCTCTGTCTGGTTGAAGAAGTTAACATTGACGTTGCTGATAAAGAAACTCACACTAGTCTGTGGTTAGAACATGAAAGTGTGTATATGACAAAGTCTTTAACCAATAAGTTAATTTTGAAGCAACATCTATTCAGTCTGCGTATGCAGGAAGGTACACCTTTTGGAGAGCATCTAAACAGGCTGAATATAATCCTATTAGATGTACGCAACATTGATGTTAAAGTAGATGATGAAGATGCTGCTCTAATTCTGTTGGTATTTTTGCCCTTATCATATGAGAACTTTGTGAAGTCTTTTATTGTTGGAAAATGCAATCTGTCTCTTGAAGAAGTGAGATTTGCTCTTCATACAAGCAAAGTCCACCATAAAGCATCAAGGCAATTTATTACTATTAGTCTGGAGTAAAGAAAATCTAGTACAAAGAATTCGATCTCTAAGGGTCCTAAAATTGATGATGTCTATCATTACTGTAAGGTGAAAGGACATTGAAAAAGCAAGTGTCCTAAGAAAAAGAGGCAACACCAAAAGGGAGAAAGTTCTGCTGAGGTAGCAAAAGCTGACACGAAGTCTGAAGTAGATTTGGTTCTGGTTGGTAATAACCAAATACATTATAAGGATGTGTGAATTCTTGACTCCCGGACATCATATCATTTTAGTCTATATAGAGGGTGGTTTTAACTTATGAGCAAATAGACAAGGGTGATGTTTCCGTGGCCAACACACCTGTCTGCAAGGTAATAGACTCCATTAGGTTGAGGACTCACGATGATACATTTTGCACCTTGAATGAAGTACGGCATGTTCCACTTTTGACAAACAATTCGATATCCTTGACTCGTCCTGATAGTAGGAATTTCAATTTCGAAGGCAAAGTCAAATGAGAAAAATATTTCGAGATGGAGGGAATAATAAAATTTGTGTGTTTAATTGTTAAAAATGAAAAAGCGTGTAGAGGGCAAGCTTTTTTCTGCAGTTTTTTTTCTCTTCATAATTAATGCATTTTTATAAAATGTAAAGTATTTTTACTAAAAACTACTGTGCTAACTTTGTCCTAGATAGAACATTCGTGAGGTACTTTACGCGACATTTAAGAAAGGTGAAAAAATGAAAATTTATCAAATTACACATAAAAAAGTGGGTGGATTATTATGCAAAAATGTACTCCGTAATAAATAAAGAAGGTGAGATGGAGTATGTGTAATATTTAAAAGGGTAATCATAAGATATTTTGGGAAAAAAAATTATTTGAGATCTTTCTCAGATAAAGGGAGTACTAATTTTTAAAATGCTTTAGGAAAATGATATTTTTACAGTTATGTTCTCCCTTTGTTCGGATTTTGTTAGAAATTGCACTAATTTTTTAACGGAAAGTATTCTCCTTCCTATTCAACTTTTCTTTGTAAAATTTGTAAACATTGACCCTGAAATGCTGAAAAAAAACAGTGTTCAAATATATATGTAATATTAATAATTTTCTTTCGAACATTGTTTTAAAATATTAAAATTGAAATTGTTGTAGAGACTCACAACAACAGACAATTAACTCTCTACGAACGATTTGATTCAACCAGACAACACACTTGACTTACTGAAACAAAGTGCTGAAGCACTTTCTCTGTCACAAACAATCACACAAACAAGGAAGATAAAAACAATAAGCCAGACACAAGAATTGTTTACGCAGTTCGGAGCGATTCTTCTACTCTACGGGGCCCACGTCTGTGTAATAACCCGTCCACTAAATCACTGCAAAGATTACAACTTCAACCACTATGGGTACCAAGTAGTGGATTGAACTAATCTACTACAGATGGCTTAAACACTTAACTCTGTTAGTGTTTTTCCCAATGGCTTATTACACCAACCTTGGTAACTTCTGTTATTGGACGTGTTATCAGCCCTTCATAGTTCACCAGCCGGATACAGTTTTTAGCAAAACTGAACATGAACTCGTGATATGACCTGTGAATCAAACACGTACTTCTTGTGCTCACCGTAACACAGTATATCAGAAGGATCCCAGCATGGTTCCCTTCTGATCTCTCCTTTCAGCTAGGGTTTTGTCTGTCTCAATCTCTCACTGGAATATTATGTTGCTTGCCCCGTTTCTCAATGTAAGGAGATGTATATTTATATGCGAACCTATGAAAACCCTAGTCATGATCAGTCTTGACACCTGGAATGTGTAGGACTCTATGGCAAGCTCGTAGGAATCCTTCTCCAGCACGTAGAGGTAGACGCCTAGTTATGCCAGGACAAGTATACGCCTTGACACCATGACATGGCAGGACTCTACAGACCCAATCCAGCTAGACAATACATACTAACAAAAAACATTTTTACTATTTGTTTTTGTCACAAGGATAAGGCCAACAAATAATAAACAAGAAACTCTCCCCCTTAACGATATAGAATAACTAACAATCTCCCCCTTTGGCCATCCTTTTGGACAAAAACAAATACTCTAGACTCTCTGGCCTGTTGAACCTCTTTCCCCCCTTTTTTGTTCAAAAATGAGCCAAAGTTTATTCAAGTATAAGTGGGAATAGAGAAGAGTAACATTCATTACCTGATCAAGAGAGGTACAGAACACACTGTAAAATCTAACACCTGAGCTGGAGGGTACACCTAAACCATGTCACAGATACGCATAAAAAATAGCGAGATGAGACTGTAGATAACCAAGTGCAAGCACATATGTAGATAAAACAAGCCAAGTTTAAACCATCCAAAATAAACAGGTCTAGTAGTCATGGCAAAAACAACATAGCAATATGTCTTGAAACGAGTAACATGGCAGAACAACCCAACCAAAAATAATGTCAATTTGGAAATGCAAATAGTCTATAGAGAGAATGCCACTCAAGCTGAATAGGATCAAGCTGAATAATCTGTAGCAGTGTCTCCCTCCTCCTCTGTACTCTCCCCCTGAGATGATGCACCTTCTGCTTGAGCACTATGAGTAGCATGTTCGTGCAACCATATGAGATTCCGGCACTCTTCTTCAAGAGTTCTCCTCTGTTGATCCACCAGTAGGAGTGCTTCCTTGTTTTGCTGCATTTTGTGTTTCAGGAACTTGATTACTCCTTGCACACCATGAGTTGCCTGATGAACAACTGTCTCCATATCATTGTAGTGCTTCCCATCAAAATGACGGTTGTCAATCTGCAGTAGTGGTTCCAGAGGTTCCTCTTGTTCAGCATCCTTCTTGGTAAAACCCTGCGAGACAAGCATCTGAAAGATTAGCACAAGAAAGGGTAGACCATTATCATTTTGCTTATAGTTGTGCTTCCCAAACTCAGCAATTTGAGCAACTAATAGCTTCCCAAAGTTGGCAGGAACATTGTTCTTGATCTTATATAGGAGCATCCCCATGGCTTTTGTCACTGTGTTGGTGTGGGAGGTGGCTAGCCAGTGACATGCAACAACTTTGAGCAGGATGGAGTAAGAGCTATTCAGGATGGATGAGGGAACTTTGTTGGTGGGGTGTTGACTTTTTCTAGCTCCGTGGGTGAGTTCCTTCCACATAGTGGCCTCGCTAACCAAGGCATCCTGATCATCATCTAACCCCAAAAATTTATTAATAGCTGTGGATGAAAATGTGTACAGTTTTCCTCTGACAAACACTATTTCAAATGATGCAGCAGCGGGGTTCACAAAATCTTCATTTAAATTGCAGTAAAACTCATGAATGACTTGTTTTACATAGGAACCTGGGAGAGTAACTGATTTCAGCAGGTTTCTAGCATCTAACAGGGGTATAAGTGTAGTTTTCAGAGCAAAGTCTTCCAAGTCAATGTTTTGTTGGGGCAAGATGTTCTTCTTCATTATTACAGGAAAGTAAGATTTAGCAGTAGAGGAGATGAAGACAGAGTTACAGGACTTCCATGAGTGATGATTCAGATCTTTATTCCTTTTGGGCTTTGAGATGGTAGGTGAACTTGTAGTGCTGGTTCTGGTCTTCTTGGTTGATGGGGGAGTTTCCTCGCACATGGTTGCTTCAGATCTGGTTTTCCGTTTTGACCAACGGACAGGGTTTTTCCCACACTGTCTTGACTTCTTCTTGGGTTGATTGTCAGTCTTCTTGAATGGCACTTCTGAGATTACTACCAGTGGTTCTTCATCCAGCAAGTTTTGAAATTCTTCATCTACTTCTGCAACCTGGGGCTATTCCTTGATTGACACTGATGGTTTGTACTCTAACAACATGATGGTGGGAAGATCTGGGAAGAGTTGTGCTTCATCTTGTTCTTCTCTTAGAGGCCCTTCATCTTCTTGTGCTCCTTGAACTTCTTCGTGCTCTATGGCAGCTCCAATTTCTAGATTCTGGTTCAGGGAAGATGAATTCTCATCTTCTTGAGAGATTTTTGCCCTTAGTTTTGCCCTAGCTTGAGCAAACCATTGGAGACGGCATACTCTTTTCTTCGTTGCATGTCTGTTCTTCCATTTCTGAGGAACAACGATCTTGGTGCGCACCATTTCTTGATGTTCTTTTGAGAGATCTCTGTAAATTCTGAACTAGGGTTTGTGATTGTAGTGATAATGACGAAGAAGGAGAGGCTTTTGGGTTTTGTGTGATTTTTAAAATTTGATTTTGGGTCTCTTTGTTTTTGATTTTAGGCGTGCTGCATGCGTGTTATTTGTTCTTTAATAGCTCCACGTGTCCTCTTGTGATTAATAAATACCTCTCCCTTTGCATGTCACGTCATCATTAGGGAGTATACATACCTAATTTTGATCTAAGTCTTTCAAACCTGTCACCATCAAGTGCCTTGGTAAATATATCCGCGAGTTACTCTTCAGTTGACACGTGTTCCAAACTCACAACTTTTTTCTCAACAAGTCCACGTATGACGTGATGTTTGATGTCAATGTGTTTGGTCCGTGAGTGCAGTACCGGATTTTTGGATATGCTAATGGCACTCGTATTGTCACAGTATATGGGAATGGTGTCATGGTCCACTCCGAAGTAACTAAGTATGGTCTTCATCCATAATAGTTGTGCACAACAACTGCCAGCCGCTATGTATTCTGCTTCTTCCGTGGAAAGTGACACAGAGTTTCATGTTCAACCATGCTACAAGATTTCCTTCTAGAAAGAAGCAACCTCCTGATGTGCTTTTTCTGTCATCTATATTGCCTGCCCAATCTGCATCGCTATAGGCCATAGGTTCTACCATACCCCCTTTTGAATACCACAATCCCAAGTTTTGAGTGCCTTTGACATATTTTAGAATTCTTTTGACGGCTTTAAGATGAGACTCTTTGGGATTTGCCTAGTATCTAGCACACACTCCAACACTATAACATAGGTCTGGTCTACTCGCTGTTAGATATAGTAGACTTTCTATGATGCCTCTGTAGCGTGTAGTATCAATGTCCTTTCCATTGTCATCCCTGCTGATTTTCTCGTGTGTTGGACACGGTGTTCTAGCACTCTTACTGTCACTCATCTCAAATTTCTTTAACATGTTCTGCGCATACTTGGTCTAAGATATGAATATTCCTTCATCAGTTTGTTTTATCTCTAACCCCAGGAAGAAGGTTAATTCGCCTATCATGCTCATCTCGAACTCTTTCTCCATTACTTTCACAAATTCATCAGCCTTCGCTTTGGAGGTGGATCCAAACACAATGTCATCCACATAAATTTGTGCAACCAGTAGATCTGAGTTGTACCATATATAAAACATGGTGCTGTGTGCTCCCCCTCTTTTATATCCTTCCTTAATTAGGTAGGATGTTAACCGTTTGTACCATGCTCTAGGTGCCTGCTTCAGGCCATGCAACGCTTTGTGTAGTTTGTATACATAGTCTGGATGCTTGGAATCTTCGAATCCTTTTGGTTGTGCCACGTACACTTCTTCCTTTAGATATCCATTTAGGAATGCAGTCTTGACATCCATTTGGTACAGTTTCATGTCTAATAGGCATGCCATGCTTATGAGCACGCATATGGATTCAAGCCGAGCTACTTGAGCAAAAGTTTCCTCAAAGTCAATTCCCTCCATCTGTGTGTACCCCTGAGCAAATAGGCGAGCCTTGTTTCTGATGACATTCCCTGCTTCATCTGTTTTGTTTCGATATATCCATTTAGTGCCGATGACATTTGTGTTCTCTGGTTTTGGAACCAGTTCCCAACTTTATTCCTTTCGAACTGCTCTAGCTCCTCATGCATGGCATTTATCCATGCTTCTTCTGTCAATGCTTCTTTGATGTTTTTGGGCTCCAGGGATGACGTATAGTATGCTTTTGTCATCTCTATGAAATCAATCTTCTTCTTTCGTGTCTTCATCCCTTCAGTGGGAACACTACTTGTCATGGGACAGTCAGTTTGGATTTCTGCAGGATCATCTTTCTCAATTTCTTCATCCCCAGTGTCTTCTTCAGGTATTTTATCAGAGGTATCTACCTCTAGTGAGTCACCTGCTGTCTTTGGCTGGAGCTGATCATCTACCACAACATTTATTGACTCCATTATAGTTCTTGTTTATCTGTTGTATACTCGATAAGCCTTTCTGTTTGGTGAGTATCCAACAAAGATGGCCTCATCGCTCTTTGGCTCAAACTTCCCTTTCTGCTCCCGGTCTCTTAGGATGTAACATCTTGCTCCGAAAATGTGAAAGTGGGCTACGCTTGGTGTCCTCCCTTTCCACAGTTCATAGGGTGTAGCCATTGTTCCACTTCTGAAGTATACACGGTTTATTGTGTAACATGCTGTATGAACTGCTTCAGCCCACAAACTTTGTGATAGTCCATGTGTGCTGATCATTGTGCGTGCCATTTCTTGAACATGACCGTTTTTTCTTTCCGCCACCCTATTTTTTTGTGGAGTTTTAGGTGCTGAGAATTCGTGCTAGATGCCATGCAGATCACAAAATTCTTCGAAAGGCCCATTCTCGAACTTCCCTCCATGATCACTGCGTACTCTAATGACCTTTTTAATCTTCAGTTGTTTCTCATTATGGACTTTGTTGCATAGTGCTTCAAAGGCATTTAGTGTGTCATCTTTGTGTTTTAAAAAACTGACCCACGTATACCTTGTGAAGTCATCCACGACCATGAGAACAAACTTTTTTCCACCTAGGCTTTCAGTTTGCATGGGACCAAATAGATCAATATGTAGGAGCTCCAAAGGATGACTTGTTGACCTCATAGGTTTCTTAGGGTGGCTTGCTCGTGTTTGTTTCCCCATTTGGCATGGTCCACATACTTGCTCACTAACTTGAGTGATTTTGGGCATTCCTCGAACTGCTCCAGAGCTTGACAAGGTCTTAAGATCCTTGTAGTTCATATGCTCGAGTCTATAGTGCCACAACTTGGCATCACTCTCACTAGCTGTGTAACAGAGAATATTTGGAGTGACTCTGTAACAGTTGTCTGTGGTTCTGTCACCTTCCAAGACAACAAATTTATTTTTGTCCTTGATACGACACTTTTGTTGAGTAAACACCACTTCAAGTCCTTGGTCGCAGATTTGACTAATGCTTAACAGATTTACTTCTAGTCCTTGAACCAACCATACGTTTTTGATAGGTGGTAGCCCTGAGACGTGCAGTGTTCCATTCCCGATGATCTGTCCATGTGCACCGCTGCCAAAACGTACGTTTCCTCCTATGGATTGAATGTTTGATAAGTTTTGTTTGTCTCCAGTCATGTGATGAGAACACCCACTATCAAGTAGCCATTGATCTGGTGTGACTCGAAGGCATGAGTTGGCGCTTGAGGCCAAGTGTTTTGGTATCCACTTCATCACAGTTCTGGTGAACCCCTTTGTCGTACCTCTCTTCCTCTTTTTGTACTTCAGCTGGTGACACTGTCTTTTGATAGCTGCTCTTGATAATCCCCATCTGATGGAATTTCATCATCCTCTTCTTCTTCAGTAGTATGGCTGTGAAATGCAATTTGTTTGACACTCTTCTTCTGTTTGATTTATTCGTTCATTTGAAGCTCAATGGTCTCAAGATTTCCCATCAGTTGATCCAGTGTCATGTTCTTTATGTCGTGTGCTTGACGAATTGCTTTGGCATCCATTGCGTAACTTTCTGGCAGAGCTCTCAGTACCTTCAGCTCTAGACTGTCTTCCGTAAAGGGCCTTTTCAGATTTTCAGTCTCATTTGCAAGTTCTCTCACTCTCCCATGAAATTCTACTATTTTTTCTTTATCGTCCATGCGCAGATTCTCATATCTGGTCATAAGAATCTATAGTTTAGCGGTTTTTACTCGTTCATCTCCTTCGTTAGTAGTTTCGAGGATCTCCCAAGCCTTCTTTGCTTCAGTGTAGTTTGAAATAAGTCGATACTGTGAGCTATCAACTGCCCCAAATAGTGCATTGAGTGCTCTGTCATTGTAGAGACTCACAACAACAGACAATTAACTCTCTACGAACGATTTGATTCAAGCAGACAACACACTTGACTTACTAAGACAAACAAAGTGCTGAAGCACTATCTCTGTCACAAACAATCGCACAAACAAGGAAGATAAAAACAGTTAGCCAGACATAAGAATTGTTTACGCAGTTCGGAGTGATTCTCCTACTCTGCGGGGCCCACGTCCGTGTAATAGCCCGTCCACTAAATCACTGCAAAGATTACAACTCCAACCACCATGGGTACCAACTAGTGGATTGAACTAATCTACTACAGATGACTTAAACACTTAACTCTGTTAGTGTTTCTCCCAATGGCTTATTACACCAACCTTAGTAACTTCTGTTATTGGACGTGTTATCAGCCCTTCATAGTTCACCAGCCGGATACAGTTTTTAGCAAAACTGAACATGAACTCGTGATATGACCTGTGAATCAAACACGTACTTCTTGTGCTCACCGTAACACAGTATATCAGAAGGATCCCAGCATGGTTCCCTTCTGATCTCTCCTTTCAGCTAGGGTTTTGCCTCTCTCAATCTCTCACTGGAATATTATGTTGCTTGCCCCGTTTCTCAACGTAAGGACATGTATATATATATGCGAACCTATGAAAACCCTAGTCATGATCAGTCTTGACACCTGGAATGTGTAGGACTCTATGGCAAGCTCGTAGGAATCCTTCTCCTACACGTAGAGGTAGGCGACTAGTTATGCCAGGACAAGTATACGCCTTGACACCATGACATGGCAGGACTCTACAGACCCAATCCAGCTAGACAATACATACTAACAAAAAAAATTCTTACTATTTGTTTTTGTCACAAGGATAAGGCCAACAAATAATAAACAAGAAACTCTCTCCCTTAACGGTATAAAATAACTAACAAAAACTTTACATGAAATATACTCTGTATATGTGTATGAATATCAGGCGACAAGTCATTCACAAAAAAAGTCTATGATTTTAAAAATGTGAATAAAAATCATAGGACATGGACATTTAATACTCTGTAAGAATATACAAAAAATTGATTACTCAAAAATATGAAAATCTACTCCTTCCGTCCCATTTTAAATTGTCTGTTTTCTTTTTTCGTCCATCCCAATTTATATTGCCTATTTCCTATTATGGTAAATTTTTAAAAATAGATTACATAAAATACTCCTAATGTATCTCACTCCTACAACCCTTCAGCCCCTGATTTTCCACTCTCGCCCATCTCTATTCCTTCCCTTTCTACTTCTACTCGTATTTTTCGTCCACACATTTCTCTCTCTCACTTCATCTTCCGCGACTTCTTTTTCTCCTTGGGTTTCTTTCGTAGATTTCTTCTTCTTTGAAGCCAGGTGTTCTTCCAATTATTTCTCTTTATTCAAAATTTTCTCTCTTCTTCATAATTCTCTTTCTCCTTCTCTTTTGTAGATTTTTCTCTTTGAATCTATTCTTTCTTTTTAACAATAACACCTTTTATAACAGATCTAGGGTTTTGTCTTTGAATGTGTTTTAGCTTTTAAGATCTAGGGTTTTTGAACCTTTCAGATCTGCCTTTTTTGCTTTTCGGATCTACGACTTTCACAGTAAGTTAAGTTTCTATGGTTTCCCTACAAATATTTTTCCTATTTTCATATGTTAATTTGTGGTTTCTGTCAATCTTTCTTTTTCAGATCTTGAAGAGGTATATGATAAAATTTCAGATCTTGTGTTCATCTTGAATCTTGAAGAGCTCCATGATGAAATTTCAAATCTTCAATGTTGAACTATTGTTGCCGGGGTTGTTGCAGAAGCTACTGCCTTTCTCTTTTCATTCCATGTTTTAATTTGAGTGTTGGGTGTATTTTTTTTACAGAATTGTTTGTGTAAAGAAGAGGAAATTTCTCTTAAAAAATATTGGTGTAATATAATTTGGACTGTTTGGTGTTTGATTTCATTTCATCTATTCTTTATTGTTTTTGTGATTCATGTTTCTTGTGCGTATGGGATAGCCCCGATAGGGTGAGGATGTGCAGATTCACCCATTTCATTTTAATAGTGCAAGGGCATTCTTGGAAAGTCAATGCCATTTTTTCCATTACTTAAATATGCCCCAAAGTTAAAATGAGCAATATAAATCGGGACGGAGGAAATATAAAACAAGAGGTGACATGAACATATTATTTTATCAAATAAGTAACAAAAATGAAAAAAAACAAAGTTTAAAGTTTGACGGCCACATGAATAGTACAGCGTAATAAACAAACATAAATTGATAAGTTGAGATAGACGAAATAATTGCCAAATATTCCCTCCGTCCACAAATAAACTTTACGTTCACTATTCACAAGATCAAACTTTATTCACTTTGTTGGCCTCTTTTTGTTACCCATTTGATAAAATAATATAGTCATGTCACCTCTAGTTTTGTAGATATTTTGATATAATTTTTTAATATGTGATTTTTATTTTAAAATTTCACACCATTTTTCAAATAAAATGATTTAAAAATAACTTCAATCAAACATCGTAACATGCAACGTAAAGTTTATTTTTGGACGGAGGGAGTACTCATTAGATATAACTCGAAAAAATGCTAGGAGTAGGAGCGGCACCCAAGAGCCACCCACCACCTACGATGACAGAGAAGACACTGGTTGCATACCACTGTTTTCTTTTCTTGTGAGAAAAGAGGTGAAAGTTGGTACTCCTCCGTCCCTAAATATTTGCCACAATTGTATTCCCGAGGTAAAATATTAAGTTTTTTCAATTCATTTTATTTACATATTGGTATAGAAATAAAAAATAAAATTTACATATAAAAAAGCTACATGAAAAGTTTTTCGAAATAAGAGGTGTCAAGAATATTTTATTTTATCAAATAACCAATGAAAACAAAGAAATAAACAAAATTTCCCGCAACTGCTGAAAAAACAAATGTTGTAAATATTTTGGGACGGAGGGAGTATCACTCTTGGGAGACTGACTCCAAACTTAATTCAAATAACTTTACAAAAGTATGTATGGCCTCACAAAATCAAGTAAGCTGTCCCTTGTCACTTGTCACGAATTTCTCGTCTTTTAGGGAGTAAATCTGGCCGTCGCCTGAACCTGAGCATGAATCTCATGCCTACACAAATAGCCCAAAAAAGTTTAAAATCAAATCATAGCAGTTTTGGAGAAGAGCAGTTGAGGCATTTTTTGTGAAAAATATTTGTGGTTAGCAGCAGCAAAAACACCAAAGTAGAGAGGAAAGGAAGTAGAGAAGACAATTTGAATGAAAAGAATTTAAGGCAAAAAAAAAAGATGTAGGAATTATTGTATAAAGAACACTGCGAAGCAGTGTTAATGAAGAACTCGATAGTATAACGAATCGCGTATAAACGCTTTCAGATCAAAGTTATTTTGGGGTATACGAAATACTTCAATCGGATAAGACAAGACGTTAATCAACAACAAGCACTCGAAATCCAACTATCAATCCATACCACGAGACTCTATTTTATAGAGTCGAAAATTCATGATCGGACATGAACGTCCGCGCGGAGGAGAAGAAACGCGCGAGAAGATCCTGTGATTTTGGAGTAAAATTTGACGTTATCCAGTCGTTCGAGTCCTTTATTATTTTGGACTCCGAACACGAAAATCTTAAGGATTTTGGACTTTGACCCCGGCCAGGGGCTCTGCCCCTTGGACCCCGCCAGGGGCTCTGCCCCTTGGACCCCGCCAGGGGCTTCCGCCCCTTGGACCCCGCTACCCGGGGGCTGCCGCCCCCAGAACCCCCGCTACCCAGAGGGCTGCAGCCCCCAAACCCCCGCTGTGAATACGCAATATCATTGAACGAGCACGCACTCCGTCCCTCCTAACTCGTTTGACAACGTCTATTTAAATTCTTGTTCGATCTAAGTAAATTCAATCATACAAAATAGATCGATGACACTAAAATCACCAACAAAAGAGTCACAAGATCATTCATTTTATATTTCTATTATATAAAACTAAAAAGTTTAAATCCCTTCGCAATATTTTTGAAAGCATCATATATCTTATTTTCTAAGATAGATCGAAACATCATAACATAACATAACATAACATGATTTTTTTCTCCTTATGATTTTCCAAGCATACCCTATAGATGAGGTCATAATCTACCGCCAAATCTAGTATTTGGAAATGAGGCTCAATACTTGAAAGAGATTGTTAACAGTAATGCCATTTATTATTAAAAGCTTCACTAAGGGTCAAGTTGTTCTCATATGTTCAATTTTACCTTGATAAATTCAAATGTAAAAATATGCTCCGTACAAATATTTTTTTGACTTTGCATATACTATTCATATTTCTTACCACTCATTTATATGATAGACATATATGAATAAAATAAGTATAGAAAACCATAATACCTGAATTCCTAGATAAGAATTTCAGCATCTCATCAATTATAATTACCTGTATTAGACAAATATTACTGGAATAAGTGGAACACTAAGAACTTATTTGAAGTATTATCCCAAAAAATAAAACAAGGAAAATCAATCCGTGGGGAAATTTCCTATGAAATTTTTGCACTAGAAAAATAAAATGTAAGCTTCCGGTGTCATTACAAAATATAGAATTAAAATCACTGAAAACTAATTAAAATGAGTTAAGCCATGTTCTCTTCATTTGTTCTGATTGGTTCTGATCTACTCTGATCTGATCTGAATGTAGTTATATTTAAAGCTATTTTTGATCTAATCTGATTTGATTTCAATAAGAATAAGTAATAATTAAAAAAATAGGTTGGGGAGAACATGGCCTTAGTTAAATCTTCCACAACATATCACTTTTCTTATGCAATTAATAGACTAGTTTTTCGTTTAACATGGAATTTATACACATGACTTCTCTAGCTAAAGTGGGTTGCCAAACAGTGGAAAACAATCTCATATTTTACTTCTAAAAGTGGAGTTGCATGGCTTGCGTATAAGTTGAACAAAAATAGAGTATATCGAGTGCAAGTTTTGCAACAGAAGGATAAATAGTAACATCAAGGTGAAAGCCAGAGAAAATATTATACCACAAGTAAAGACAATGTAGAAATAGAGGACGATGTTAACCATAGGATTAAAGCCGGTTGGTAAAAATGGCAGAGTGCTTCGGGCTTTATATGTGACAAAAAAGTGCATTTAGAACTAAAGGGAAAAACTTACCATAGTACAATTAAACCAGCTATATTGTAGGAAAAGAGTGAACATGAGCAAGGTTAATGTGGCAGAAATGAAGATGCTTCGATGGATGAGCGCTCATATGCATATGGATAGAATAAGGAATGAAGATATGAGAGCTAAAGTTGGAGTGACACCTATTGTACGAAAGATGGTGGAAACTCGTATTAGGTGGTTTGGACAAGTGGAGATAAGACCAATAGAGCATCTAGTGAAAAGGGTTGATCAAATGGTGAATAGACATGTTGCTAGATGAAGAGGTAAACCTAAGAAGACTTAGCACAAAGTGGTCAAGGGGGACCTTCGCATAAATGATCTCACAACAGGCAGAGATATGATACATGATAGGGTGCAATGACGTCGTTTGATCCATGTAGCTGACCCCACTAAGGTTTTGTTGTATTTTACTATTAAGTAATCCCAAGCAACTCATTAACGTAATAAAATGGGCATAACTATCAGCTTCTGGGGCATACATTCTCAAAGTGTTAACAAATAAAAAATGCCTAGTAATGGTTTAGAAGAGACTTACAGGAAATGAAAGATAAAAAACAGTGGTCCACTCTGCCCAACCAAGTGGTGTCACCTGCAACACAAGCAGATTCTCATTCTTAAACAGATATCAAATACAAACATGAGATTCATTGAGCATATCAAAGGACACGGTTAAATAAAGAAAAACATCTCAACTTACAGAGAAGAGAACAGATAACGGTTGCACATACAGAATGAGTACATGTAGCAGCATTGTCAGAACAATTGAAGCAACAAGCCACATATTACTCCATGGTGGAATGACACTAAAATTTCAGAAGAATAAAAAGGGGAGTACGTTAAAGATTAATTTTCAATAACTGATAAATATTGGCAAATGGAAAACTGTGCTCCTGTTCCATAACAGCCATGTTGGTTTTACAACAAGAATCTTGTAATGGGGACATTAACACATCACTATAGCAACTATCACAACTCATCATTGCCTCATAAAAGTTTCCTAGCAAATGAAAAAGAACTAATGATGTAGACCATACCATTATAATTTATCCATAGTAAGGTCACAAGATCAGCATAAAACCATCACTACATTTTTGCATGGATATATAATGTTAACTACTTTTAGACAATAAATTGATAACATAAATTTCATGGAACTGACCCATAAATAGTTGGCATTAAGATTTAAGGTGACAAGTTGATGGATACATAATATCATCTATGGAAAAAGAGAAACCTATACGTTAAGAGTTTTAGTGTATTGCTTCAAATGGAGACAAACTAGTAGATTGAAATTAACTTTTAAGTACTCACAGCAAGGATTGATTTTCACTGAGATTATTCAGTGCATTGAACATCTCAACAACAACAAGCACTGTCATTGAAATGGTAGATGGGTGCCGGTCACTAAATACGCTACAAGAATAGCTAGTTTCCCTTCTTGAACAGCTGTCAAAATTCATCTGCAAATACATACTGAAAAATTAGCATTACAAAATATTGTTTGAGTACATCTGCATAGCCTTCATACTGAAAGAACACACATTTTTAAAAAACTAGAATGCTCATCCGAACAACAAAGTCATATCACTGCTGTAAAACTTACCAATTCACCGTACGGAAGTTTAGGCCCATTATCAAAATAAATAAACCACCAAATAAATCCTGCAATAGTGGCTAGCCCAACATATGCTGCAAAATTGAAATTTTAATTGTTATATGCCAAAGAAAAGACACGTCCACCATAGTTTTGAAAGGTGAAAGATGAGAGGCAGGCGAGAGGGCCCTTTTTAAGGCAAAAGGCCAGGCAAGAGGCAGGCGGCCAAAAGGGGAACTTGGGGCATATACACACACATAAAACAATTCTACTCCACCTAAAATGTCTAAAATACCCTCCTAAAAACTATACCCGCAATAAACTACGAAATAGAGGTGTATTTTAAACATTTTAAATGAGGTAGAAGTGTTTTGAGGGATGCGCAAATAGTTAGGGCGGAAGTGTTTTGTGAAATGGAGGGAGTATATGACAGTTACACAATTTTCATAGAGCATTCCTGTTTTTTATTTCTACTCTAGTTTGAGTTCATTTGTTTTTGAATTGTAAACACTTCTAGGGGAGGTATTTCTTGTGTTAAAGTTGAAGGTTGTTGTATCCGTCATGTATCCTTAAGCATTGAACCTTGTGAAATCAAGTAGTCGGCATGGTTGTTAAGTCGAGAAGTCGAGTCGAGTCGGTGAAGGGGAGACTAGTCGACAAGTTACGATTACTATTGGAATTTTTAACATTTTCTGTATCTTCATTCACCCAAGATAACTATATAAATTTATATGCCAAAATATCACCACCAAAACAAAATTATGTTTAAAGGTACACATAAAGTCACATTAAGTCATTGATAAATTAATAAAATTTAAAAATTAAGAGTATAATATACTTTAATAGTTTAAAGAACCATATTAAAGAAAATTAAACCAAATTAAGAGTATACTTTAGTTATAAATAACTAAAGATAGAGAGATCTTATCCATGGATAGAGAGCTTGTGAATCCTCGAAGATGAAGAAGAATCAAATCCAAAAAATTGATCCTGGAAGATTTCGATGAAGGAGATGTTGCGATTTGGGAAGGGTTAAATGTCGACTCAGTGTGCTGATCAGGGGAGGCTATGTTCTATCGAGTAATTTTTAAAGTTTAATAAAATTTGGGTCGGGTTGGGTCAAATTGGGCAGGTTTTCTTCACAGGCTAGTCTTCGCCTAGGCGCGCTTAGGCGTTGCTTAATTTGCCCAATCGCCTAGTCTACCCTAGTCGCTAGTCGGCGTGCAAGTTGCCATACAGAAAACGCCTTTCAACAACTAGACGTCAACTAGGCAACAACTTGACAACAATGGTAGTCGGTCATTTAACATTTAAAAAACATTCTTATATTTATTATAATTTCACAAAGACATTCTTATTTCAAGTGATTGAGGTTGTGAAATATAGTTCTCGGTGGGTTATCATATTAAACATTCTTAATATGATTGAGAATATTTTCTCAAGCACTGAAGCCTGTGAAAGTTGAAATTTCATATTTATATGCACAAGCTCGTGCTTTTGAATCTCAATTGTTCTTTTCTTGCCATATAAAGTCAATTGCAGCAACTGCAGACAGGAGAGCCAAAATGCTCTTTTGCACTCACTTCCCTTTTATTATATCAAGTTAATACTACCACATGCCCGCTAAAAGCATTTCTGTTCGATGTCCATCCATTTTAGCAAGCCTTCAAGTTTTATTCTTTGTTGAGCTATAACTCATATGCAATAGAAAAACAATGAAACTTCAATATACAAGGGTAAGTTAATACTAAATTTACAAGGCATGGGTTTTGTTTTAATGTTTTGGAATAATTTGCTCTTCATATGTATCATGTTGTTTATGATTTTATTTTCTTTATATTTCTTCCTCAAGATAATTTGAACTATTGCACTAAGTTAAATACTTCAAGTATTGGGCTAATGAAAAGCTCATTTATGCTGAATATGATTTTGTTTTGTTCCCGAAAGTAGTATTTTGTTAGTGCAATGGGGGGTTTTGTAGGAGGAAAGTTTTAAACATTATTACTAAAGGTGTTTTTAGTTTGACTATTATCAGTACCACGAGCAAACTTGATTTCACAAGCTTTATATGCTAAGCCTAATCCCTTTTTGTGAAATAAGAATTCCTTACTGTAATAAGAATTCTTATTTTACAAAAAGTGATTCAGCCTCTGAGATGTACAAACGCAAGCTTAATACATTTAAATCTCTTTGAATAATTTGATTTTACAAACATTCTTTATTTCTATCATATAAGAAGACACTGAAATTATTAAAAAAAGTGGGTAAAACACGGTTTGGCAGTTACACAGATTATATAAAATAGAATATGAAGTGTGCAAAGGAACTTATGTTACCTCCAATAACTAGATACCGGAAGAATAACCACCCACTAACAACTGCTTCATTAACCTGTCATTGAAACATGTTTAAGAACAAAACCCAATGCAGCAACGACAACCCCATAGAATCCCTCGAGAGTACGGTCTAGGACCATAGCCCTACTTAAATGTAGAGAGGTTATTTCAAAGAGACCCCCACCTCGAGCAACTCAGAGTACACATGGCACAATAACTAACAAAGAGCAAACTAAGGGTAAGAAGAGCGCAAGGAGACAATAAGAATAAAACCCAGTATATCCTTGAAAAAGAACAGTGAGAAGTTAACATAAAGGAAACATATTTGAAATAAATCCGTTTGAACTAAATAAAATACAAAATAACTAAAAAACGGCCTTTTGAGAAAGGGTTACGTTATAAAATAACCATTTTACAAATAAATTAGTAAGGCACCAATGCATGTCTGCTGAAAAGGGCCAAAAACAGCATAGTTAAATCTAGTCCAGGCCCAACCGTACAAGTGTACAACACAGAAGGGAGAGATACCTTGCGAGGTTTTATCTTCATAACATCCGAGTCTTGTTTATTAAACCCAATAGCAGTGGCAGGCAAGCCATCAGTAACCAAATTTACCCACAGCAACTGGACCTGCATGTTGACAAAATACAGCGCTAGATTCAACAACAACAACTCAGTAAAATCCCACAAGAGTAGGGTCTGGGGAGGGTGTGTGTACGCAGACCTTACCCCTACTCAAAAGTAGAGAGGCTGTTTCCAAAGAGACCCCCGGCTCAGCATCGAAAGTTACATTGATTGACTAACTGCTACTTCATTAATTAAAGAGCGCACACAATATGGAGATTCATTTTGCTTTATTCCATCACACCCAAAGCCAAAATTAGTGAATTTTTGGTTCCATCAGAGGTGACGGAAAAAATACAGCGCTAGATTCAATCAGCGCAAATTGCTCCATGGTAATAGCAAGTCAATTTCAGTACTTATGGGCTTGTACAGATCACATCACTCTAGGATAAACACTTGTGCTTCCTCCCATCCAATTTTCTCAATTAAATACTTCCAAGACGAGTTACATATGACTCAGACATATCTCATGCCAAATAATGAAACAATTTTGAAATACTTGAAGCAAATACCATCTACATGCCGTGCAGGTCTTGTCTACCTTATCATCTAGCAAACTAACCCAAAACTCTGTAAATTCTAAGCCACCAATTAATTGGTGGGAAAAACATTTTGCATCATGTACCCATAGTAAGTTAATAACACTTTTGTAAGTAAGGCCCTCAATTTAATTCTTTTCAAATTAGCTATGTTGGATAAGCTAGGATATTTACAGTACATTCATTCATGGAAAATAAGTTTTAACTTTATATTTTATTGTCATGTGAAACGCTTCTCGATTTTTTCTATTCACTTGCCAAAGAAGTGATAAGAGACTTTTCTGGCTAGCTAAGCTACGTGAGAGGAAAGCCCATATCGCGTGAAGGGCAGCGATGGTAGAGTGTTGTTTCACACTGCGGAGGTGGCAAATGATGGGGGGGTGTACTTCCGTGGCCTTCTAAATGAGGGAGGAGATCCGAGGTTAGAACATGGTGAGCTGGGGCATTTCATGACTTTGGGTATTGCCGGGGCATTTTTTTGGAAGAGGTGGCTCGGGCCATCCGCAAGATGCATAGTAGGAGAGCTTTGGGGCCAGACAAGATTCTGGTAGAGTTTTGGAAGTATGTGGGCTGAGGTGGGTTGGTTTGAATAACCAAGCTCTTCAATTTTATTTTCAAGACCGCTAGGATGCTTGACGAGTGTAGAGAGAGCGTGTCGGTCCCGCTGTTTAAAGGTAAGGGTGACATTCAGAGTTGCATGAATAACAAAGGCATCAAACTACTTAGCCACACTATGAAGTTTTAGGAGCAAGTCATTGAGTGTTGGCTGCAGAAAAGGGTGTCAATTTCTGAGAATCAGTTGGATTTCATGCCTGGTAGATTGACATTCACCTCTTACGAAGGTTGATGGAGAGTATAGGGCTAAAAAGTAGGACCTCCATATTGGTGTTTATTGGCCTCGAGAAGGCATATGACAGGGTGCAATCTTGTGGAGGTGTCTTGAATCGAGAGGGGTTACAATCACATACATCCGCAGATATGTATAGCAGGGCAAGGACTAGTGTAAACACTGTCAGGGTGACTCTGAGCCTTTCTCCGTAGAGGTGTGTTATACCCCGGGTTACTAATATGGAATCCCAAGTCCTTAAACAAATCAATGGATTAATGTCTAGGTGTCTTGATCCTTTTTGGAATGAATTTATCATCAAAACCCAAATCCTAGCCATAGTCCTTTTGGATTACTAAAGGCCGAACCAATCACCCCAAAACAACCCAAACCACCATCAAAAGGAGACCATCATGTACTCCCCTCTTTGGCCGAAAATCCTTCTCCTGTTTTTCAACAAAATTATCATGTTTTTGACTAAAATAAACACTTAAAACCCACCCCATAATCTGGCCAAAATCCCTTTCCATTTTAAGTCAAAAGGTGAACAGTAGCTATTTGTCTCTTTGTTGACTTCTCTCACAATCAAACAAAGAGAGTCATTCCCCTTTCTTTCCTTCAATAAAAGCCGAGCTAGGCCATCCAATAAAACCAAGGAAATCAACTTTTATAATCTCCATATCATCTTTCTTGAAATCACACACAAGATGACAAAATCCATAATGTATAATCATCCAAAACCAGCCACTTAATATTCCACTCTGTCCCTTATCATATGGTCGAACTCTTCCTCAAAATAAGTCAAAAGAAATCACTTTAATCAATCATAACATCTTGTGATGATCCTCCCATATATGGTTGAATGAGACAGCCCTTAAACCAAGCCAAACAAGATCCTTATTCCCCTCAAATCATTCCACTAAGGACATATGACAAATGGACATTATTTTCTTGATTTGTGATAGGATTATGAGTGGCTGTATTCCTTGTGCATGTATGTATATATTCGGCCATAGGCATTGGTAAAAAAAACAGCTTGGTAATATCATTTCTATCAAATAATACACTTGTTGTATTCTTTGTTTAAATTCCTAATTCTATATCTTAAGGGTGGTTACCTTAAGTGTGAGTTTTAAGTTCTAGATATTTAATTAAGTGTGTTATATCTTAATTAAATTCTAGACTTAACCCCAAGTTAAGATAAGAGTGTGTTATATCTCTTAAACTCCAACTTGGTTTATCCCCTAAATAAAACAACAAAAGAATCTCCTGCCTTTTTTTTCTCTTTTCTTTCTTCAATTCAGTCCCTCCATTCCCTCCTCTAAATACAATTCACTTTCACCCTTCCTTATACAAAATATAATCTAAAACCTATCCTCCCTTTCCTGCCATTTTCTTATCAGGACATCCCTCCTCTAAATACTTCCACCCCTTTACTTAAATCTTCTTCCAAAACCAACCCAAGATACCTACTGTCTCCCTGAATCCATTCAGCCCTGATCCCTCCTCCTTTCACCTTGAGTTGAAGCCTAACAAGGTGGGGTTACACCAAGGTCTGCCCTTAGTCCTTTCTTGTTTGCTCTGGTAATGGACGTCCTCATGCATAGAGTTCAAGGAGAGGTCTCGTGGTGCATGCTTTTTGCTAACGATAATGTGCTTATCGACGACACTCATGAGGGACTGAACAACAAATTGAAACTTTGTCTTCTTTCTTGGAATCCAAAGGTTTCACACTGAGTAGAACCAAGACTGAATACATGAAATGCCGTTTCAGTGGTCGGGAGTCGAAATAAAAGGTGGAAGTTAGGATTGATTCACATCAAGTGCCCAAGGTAGAAAGGTTTCGGTATCTTAGCTTGGCCATCAAAGCGGATGGGATGATAGATGTGGATGTTCCTAGGGGTGGGCAAACCGGACCTCGAACTGCGGGTCAGAACCGAACTGCACAGTTCGGGCCGTGTTAGAGCCGGGTCCAAAATTTTAACTTCAAAACAAGCCAAGCCAGGCCAGGGCGATTCATTTAGCAAAACAAGTCGGGCCGGTTCCAAATATTTACAAAAAAGTAGACTCGGACAGGCTCGTATCCTATAATTTAATAAAATTATAAATATAAAATATACAATGTATTAAATAAATTAAAGTATACTCAATACTGAAATTTAGTGTTTTCATCAATTTGTATTAATAAATAAATTTTATATGGTATATTCAATATTCTATTAATAAAATTAAATGTGTGTGTATATATATATATGTGTGTGTGTATGTATGTATGTATGTATGTATGTATGTATGTATGTATGTATGTATGTATGTATGCATGTATGTATGTATGTGTGTGTGTGTGTGTATATATATATATATATATGTAACATAACAAGTAAAATTTGGTCGCCAATCACATTCTTTCTTATATGTTTTACAACTTCAATTGGTAAGTCCTTTATTGGTTGAATATTATAATTTATTTTTATTTCATTTATGAAAAGCATGGATTAGTTTCAAAAAGTGTATTATTTCATTGACTACTCTCATATATGTTTATTTGTTTTTGATGTATTTTAAGTTCCCCAAAAACACTTCCTTTTTCCAACATCTCCATGATATAAGCAAAGCACTAAGATAATTAATGACACATCTAAAATTCTAAATACCTTGTAAGTTTGAGTATCAACGACATAAAGTAGAAACCTAAGTTTTAATAGGACTCTTTCATATAAAAGAAATCATGCACTATGCACTCAACAAAACATGTTCACAATTTTAGGGATGTATATATACATATTTTCTATATCTTTTAGGGTCCACCTGTGCTACAAAAGGCGCTAGGTGGACACTGGAAGGCCGCCTAGCACCACATAGCACTACCTACAATTACATCGTATATAGATGGATATATGTCGTGTGTGGATCATGCGCTCGTGTTCTAGATATTTGATTCTAAAAAAATATTTTATAATATAAACAAGTGCAACTTACTTAGCGTGTCATTGTGATCATAAACTAAAATATCGTAAATCACCGAGTTACAAATTCACATTCAATATAATAGAAAGATAACATTTAGAATATCACATTTTATGTAATACTCTCTAAGATTGTTTTTACTTGACCCATTGTGGTTCATGATATTTGACTAAATTTATTTTCAATTCCAATTATTTGAAAGTTGGTGTAAACTTTAAAAATTTTATTTCAAAACTATATCAAAAGTTCTTCAAAACAAGATATGACATGACTATACTATTTTTCAAATGAATAACAAAAGACATGCAAAGAAAGAGGATAAAGTTTGATCCTATGAGATCAAAGAAAAAAGAAACAAAGGGAGCATATTCTATCATATATTTATTATTGTCTATTACATTAAAAGTGTTTATAAAGTATAATATTTAAATAAGAAAATGTCATTTTAGCTTAAACAAACATTTTTTTAAAAATAAAAGAGGAACCACCTAGAGGCTGGGGCCAAGGTCCTGCCTGGACCGATTCTTTTTAGTGGGGTCCACAGGAGAAAATGTGAAGCAGTGTTTCTACCATTTTCAAGAAGTTTGTTCAAGTTTAGAAGTCAAAACCTAACAGTATATTGTGAACCATATTAATAATAATTTCTGTGAAGAAAAAATGTTAGTAACTAAGCACAGGAGGTATTGTCTTCTAAGAAAGACTCACGGGTGCAAGTGTGTCAGGTATTCCAAGTATTGCTGCCACAAAAATACAGACCACTTCCCCAATATTAGAAGATATCATATATCGAATGAACTGCTTTGTGTTGTTATATATAGCCCTTCCCTCGGCAACAGCCTGCATAGAGTATAAAGTTGTGTCAACACAGAAAACTCAAAAGAAAACCCTCCAGCTTTAGGTTGATAAATAAAATTTACCGCAACAATTGATGCAAAATTGTCATCTCCCAAAATCATATCTGAAGCACTCTGAATGTTCAAAACATAGCACAGAGTGTAAGATGATTGGACATGACCAGTTGACCACAACATGAGCAAAGCATAGATAATGCAAGAGATACCATACTACGTACAAAAAAAAAGTCAAAGGGGAAAAGAGTTTTCATATCATTCTCATAAGAAGGGTAGTCAAAATTTTTGTAGGTTAGAAAGTAAGATAGCATCTACAGTAATGATTGAAATCCAGCAATTGAATGTATCCAAGAAGGGTGATCAGAAAAGTTCATTTGAACTAAATAACACAACAATTGAAATCCACACTTCCAATTACACATGTTATATGTGAGGCTTTGAGTATATCTTTATAGTGTGAATTAGAAGGAAAAAAATTAGGCATCAACAGTACTAACTCAAAAGTAACTTTAATTATAATGACAGGTAACAACATTATAATGCTCCTCTTTACGAGTCCCCACTCCCCAATAAATGGGATTGTTTTGTCTTGCACAGCACATAAGGTCACTTTAATGGAGACTTAGAGTACCAATAAAATAGAGACCACGCACAGTTAAATATCCTTTCAAATGATAGCATTAAACATTTAAACGTCTTTCAACATTCTTGCTTTCATACGTGCCTCTTAAGATAACACTCTAAAAATGGGAATACCTTTGCAACAGCTGTTCCTGATCCCATGGCAATCCCAATGTTAGCTTTCTTGAGAGCAGGTGCATCATTGACTCCATCTCCAGTCATTGCAACCTTAGAAATAAATGTGAGATTGCGAGTGAAGAGTTATTCCCTTTTTTATGTAATGAAGAATAAAATCCAAACTCCACGCACACATAAAAAGTCATTATCACATACTAGTAAGGAAACAAAACAACTCATAGTTGGAGACATATACTATATAATTGTTTTTCAAAATGAAAAGGGAGTTGGATCAAAATCCCAAATTAGTCAAATCAATGGACAAGGGAATTTGGCCAATATTTGATGGCAAACAAGATGGAAATAAGGAAGTCGGTTATTTTTTTGATCTGATCTGATTTTTTGTAGTTCTGATCTGATCTGATTTGGTTTGATCTGATGATCTGGTTTGATCTGATTGAATCTGATCAAGTTTGATTGATTATGATTTGATTTAAAATTAAAATCAATAATTTGATTTGACTTTATAATAACGTTTGAAAATTCTAATGATAATTCATATTATAATATAATCAATATTTTTTTATTTTATGATAATTTTTTAATAAAATTAGTTAATTCATATACACCCTCCGTCCCAGAGTATTTATCCACTTTCATTTTTACACATCATCCAATGCACTCTTTTAATCCATTTTATCTTGTAATTTGTATATTAAAAAATTATAGAAATTATATATTAATAATCTATATGTTAAGACAAATCAAACAAGATCACACATGACTATATTTAGGCTTGCACATTCAGAGAATTTGATGAGTCAAAGTGCTTAGATGAACAGTTCCAAAAGTCAAAAGTGGACAAAAACTGGGGGACGGAGGGAGTATTAGAATAATCATTCATATTATAATGTACTAATATTTTTTATTTTATGATTATTTTCTTGTGAAATAAGAATATTGATTTAATATTTTAATAATTAGTTCATATATACATTAGAATAAATATTTAATTTATATATATATTAAAAAATAAGTAAATTTAGATAATGAATATAGAGAAGAGAAAATATTTTTATTAAATATCTCATCCTTATAAAAGATCAAAACTTTAGAAACTCAAATTACATATAGAAATAAAAATGTATTTTAAAAGTAGAATTAGATTGACACTGTCAATGTATTTGAAAAATAATTTTTCCAAAGTCTAATCATTAAAGATTAAGAAATCACCCTACGTAGCACTCTAAGTCATTCAATAGTACGCAGATAGCACTCCTTAATCTTTTATACGAATTTAGCTATTTATAGTGTCAATATATTACTTTCTTCGTTTTCTATTAAACTTATTTCTAAAGTTTATTCTTTTTCATTTTTAAGGATAATAATAATAATAATAATAATAGTAATAATAATAATAATAATAATTCTTGATGGGATCTGATCTGATTGGATCCAATCTCATCTGATTCGATCTGATCTGATCTGATTTTAATAAAAATAAAAAAAAGTAAGAAAAAGTAAGTTGAACGGAACGGGGCCTTAGATCCCTAATGCATTACTGCATTTACTACCCATTTTTTCATAGAAAGAAGCTAGGGAAGTTTATGTGTCATTGTTAGAATATAATACACTGTTAAAGACGCAACCAAGTAGTACTTATGTAGATATAAGACAATATGCAAATCAAGTGTAGGAGAATAGATATCTACAATATATTTTGAGTGCAAAAAATCTCTATGTATGTATGTGTGTGTGTGTGTGTTTGTGTGTGTATGTGTGCATGTGTGTGCATGCTTATGTATGTATGTATGTATATATGTATGTATGTAAGTATGTATGTAAGTATGTATGTATGTAAGTATGTATGCATGTATTTGTAATTATGTATGTATGTATGCATGCATGCATGCATGCATATATGTATACATGTATGCATGTATTTGTAATTATGTATACATGCATGTATGTATAGATGTATGGATGCATGTATGCATCTATGGCTCTATGCATGTATATATGTGTGGGTATATGTATATATGCATGGATGGATGCATGGATGGATGTATGCATGCATGTATAAATAGATGTATGTATGCATCTATGGCTCTATGCATGTATGCATGTGTGAATGTATGTATGCATGCATGGATGCATGTATGCATGGATGGATGTATGCATGCATGCAACGCATGCACACACAAGGCCTACCACTTCACTTTGATTCTGTAAGGCTTCAACTAGCATCCTTTTATGAGATGGTTCAACCCTAGCAAAATAAATATGTGTCAAATTCCTAATGCTCACTAAAGAAAGTAATTTATGCAGTAAAAGTCAAGCATCCCAACAAATCCCAAGCTCTGACAAGAACGGCAATTGTAAGAGGATGCCTTTGAAATTCACCTGGATAGAAGGGTCATTCTTTGCAATGCCACTATCTTCTGTGATGCTGGAAGTTCTTCAAATTCACTAGCAGTATAAGAAAGTCCATCAAAATTGCCAAAGTGATCAAGAGCACCAATCTTTCGGCACAATGATTCAGCTGTCATCTAAGAGCATAGTGCAAACTAAGCAATTGTTATAAACAAATACATCATTACACCGAACATTCCAGAAATAACAGCGCTCTTTGTCTTACCTTGTTATCTCCGGTGATAACTATAACACGTATCCCAGCAGTTATACATGAAAGGATGGCATTTCTTACTTCCTCCCTTGGTGGGTCAAGCATTCCAACCTTTGAGGTTTGAATTGGTGAAAGTTTAAAATTAACATAAAATACAAAAAATTGGTTACAATTTAGAAGACATTAAGTTGCATTACATATCACTACAATAGTAAGATTAAAACATCCCTCATTTAGAAAATCAAATAGTAGTTTAATACTAAATCCATCCCATAAAGACCGTCACACATTCCTTATTTGGATGTCACAAAAAATATTTCACATTTCACCTTTTTACATTTAAGAAGTTGACCCACTCCTCAACTCTTTAGCCCCTGCCACCACCTCCCTTTTGTATGTCGTGCCCCCCTCCCTACACCCTCCATTTTTGACGTCATGTATCATATTGGCGCAAGCCACCCCTTCTTTGCTAAGTGACAACGTAAAAAACCACGCTGTATTGTTGTTGTTGATAGAGTTACTCTTGAGTCTTGTTTAGTTACAGCTTATAGTTGTTGATGTGGTATTTTGTATATATATCTAAAGTTCTCTTTTAGATGTAATACACTTTTACGTAAGAAACCAAATTGTCTCTTCTGATACCCAGTTGCTTCTTTTTCAGTTCTTTCCGTTCCTCTTCTTTGTAGCTTGTCGCAACCTTCATAAAAGTTCTGGATGAACTCATGCTCAAACCAACATGGTATCAGAGTCTAACAGTCGAGTCTAAGTATCTTCATCACATCGATTCACAATTTTGATTCTGATCAGAGGGAGTACTATTAATATCACTATCATAATAAATATTACTCCCTCCGTCTGGAAATGATGTTCCCACTTTGACTTTTCCTCATTTTTAAGAAGCATTGACTAAGAGAGTGAATAGACTAAAATTCCCTTACACATTTTCACCCATCCCTAGCCACCAAACAGCACCCACTACCGGCCCAAACCTCCACCGCCGCCAATCTCACCCCACCGCTGCCCCCACCAATCCTGTCGGCGTCGTTATCTCCGCCAGCCCAAACGACGACCATCACCTCAGCCACTGTCACCACCAGTCCGACCATCACCCATAGCTTCCACCAAGACCATATATGGGAGAAAGACAAAAGAGAGAAAGAAGGTGAAGAAAGATGACAAGGAGGAGAAGAAGAAAAGGACACAGATCTACTGCAGATTTAATCGACCACCATCGCCGCCGCAGCCTCGTCAACGTCAGGACCCTACCATCGGTGCGCAGCCCCACCTTCGGCGCAATTGTGGTATAGATCTAAAAGAAAAAATAAGGAGAAAGAAAAGAAGAAAGAGAGGAAGCAGTGCAGATCACCATCGTCATCGCCATTGCCGGCCGCCACCATTGCTGGCCGCCACAATTGCCCCCATGCGTATGCGTAGATATAGAAGAAAGATGGAGGAGAAAGAAGAAGGGGAAGATAAAGAAGAAAGATGGAGTAGAAAGAAAGACTATAGAGACGAAGAAGAAGAAGAAGAAGATTGAAGAGAGGAGGAGGAAAGATCTGCAGAGATGGAGGAGAAAGAGGAGAGAAGAATAAGAAAAAAAAAAAGAGATAAGGAAAGGGGTGGCGTAGAAAAAAAGAAGGAAAGAGAAAAGAAAAAAGAAAGGAAGAAAAGAAAGAAAAGAAGGAAGAAAAGAAAGGAAGAAAAGAAGGAAGAAGGGGTAATTTTGGAAGAGTAGAGAAAAAAAAGTAGAATGGGAACATCATTTCCGGACGGAAAAAAGAGTAGAACGGGAACATCATTCCCGGACGGAGGGAGTATATTAGTATATTGTTATTATTCTTTTGCTTGTTGTTCAGTACATGACATTAAATTTTAAGCTTTGCTTAACCATATTTGGGGGTGATAGTTTGTTATTTGTCTCCATAACAATACACAATAAATTCTTAAAATAGGTCAGGTAAATGGGTAACTCAATCCTCACTTCATTAATAAATAGGTTGGTTTAAGGTTGACCTGCTTAAGTTATGAGTGTTTAGGCTGAAAATTTCAACATGTTTGATAAATGAGTTAGAAGGGGATCAGCCGAATACAAACCCGACATGACACGCCATGTTTGTAAGGTCTAAGTTTTGGGCAGTAAATGTTGCAATGCATCAACAGTAGAATACACCACCTCTCTGTAAAGTCTGTACATTTTGACCCCCAGACCCCAACAAAAGTGAGTTATGTTGGGTTTGTTGCTATTGGTAATCGAGATACAGCAACTACGACACAACAAAACCAATAACAAGAAGAACAACAATGTCATGTGTAATCCCAGAAGTGGGGTAACAGAGCATACCAATCCAACAAATGTAAGGTCTTTTTCATCATCAACAGAGAGAGACTGTTGGCCCATAGGAATCCGTTTCAAGGCTAGAGCTAGGCATCTTAGAGTTTCTTTTTCTGCAAAACTATAACAAAGGAATGATTTGCATCTCCACATGAGAGAAGGAGGCAATCCAAACAGTCTTACATGGAGATTTTAAGTATAAAACTCTAATACATGGTGTATATCTAGAAGGATTCACAATAACATTTCTATTTGAAGTTAGTCACTCTAACCTATTAAACATCGTCTCTAGTTGTGCTTTGATATTGGCAGAAAGAAGAATAGTAGAACCATCATCATTGCACAGAATTTTGGTGCATCTAGAAAGTATGCTTTCTGGAGCACCTTTGGAGAAGATAATGTCCATCTGCTTCCTGCTGCAAAGTACACTCATCATTTTGCGGTCCCGAGAAAAATCCAAGGATGATACCTAAAAGACAAGGGATATTAAGCATTTAGTTTGAAAATCTATAACATCATATAAAAGTATGAGGGGTCAGACAATTTTTCTCGACTTTTCTTTTCTAAAATACCCTTCTTTACTTATGTGTTTCCACTCGTGTCCATTCAATTTCCATTTAGATCCTTGTTTATTCCTCCCCAACTTTTTTTATTTGTTCCCATGAATCTTTTATATTTTTTGTTATGATTGAGTGCAACAAAAATGGAAAAGCATCAAACTTTTGTTTCTTATTCCTTTCATTCTTCTAACTATAAAAAATGAATACGATTCTATGTAAAAAAGAATAAGACTTCAAGTTTTTTATGCAAGTTAAAACTTCCATTCTTTAGGTCTTTTTAAAAAAAAATATAAACGTGCATTTAGGAAAAGGCATCAAGCCTTTTATGGGATGTAAAAATAAAATACTTTTAATATTGCAATACACAAGCACACACACACATACATACATACACACACACACAGACACACACACACACAGATATATACACATACATATGTATATGTGTGTGTGTGTCTATATATATATATATATATATTAGTGTGTTAGAAAAATAGGAAATAGAAAGTTTTCTTTAATTATATTTTGTTCCATGGAATAATCTACTTTTTTCACATCTAATATGAATGCAAGCATTTTTTATAACAAAGTTGTTTTGTTAAGAAACAAAAGACACATCATTTAAACTTTAATATAATATGTGTTGTAAATTATTTAGGAAACAAGGCTAAAATAGGAGTAACATATAGAGATAGAACAAAAATATGACCTTCAGTCTTTTATCCCCAAAATAGGATCTATATTGCCAGTAATGCAATCATATAATAGCATAAAACACTATGGATTGCCAATATACATTGCCACGTTGTCATAAAGCAATAGTCATAATTTGGAGATTAAAACATGCCACTCTTATTTTCGAGATAAAGGTTATGAAATGTTCCTAGTTTGGGAGATTTCTTAATTATTTAGTGGTTCCTTTTAATCTTCTAATTTATATTATTTTTTTACGATTGTAAGTAATAAATAAACTCAAAAGGCATCATATTTTTAATTATTTTTTGTTCCTTTTAATACTCTATTTTTTATTACGACGTTGTTTGATAAAAAAGAAAATACATCAAGTGTTTTATGTAATGTAAAATTGAATACTTTATTTTTAAAAATAATTTATCAAGATTGTGTGTTTTAAATATAGGAAAAGTATCAATCTATTTTCATTTTTCTTTTTAATCTTCTAATTAATTTTAAGTTTGTAGCATTTTTGTGTACTAAAAGCAAAAAAAGTTATCAAAATTCCAATCTTCCCTCTTTTTGAACTTCTCATTATATTTTTGCTTAAAATAATTTTTTTATTTTAAAAATAGTTTATTAAAAAAAAATTAAAAAGACAAATGTTATAAAAAAAGGCATCAAGCTTTTCAATAATTTTTTTGTTCTTTTTTGTCTGTTAATTTATTTTAATATGTTCGAGTGTGTAATAAATAAATGAAGGGGCATCAAGTTTTCTACGTAATGTTAAATTTAGATGTTTTTAATCTTCTAGTTTGTGTTAATATTTTATCACGATTGTAGTCCTCAAGGAAAAAAGTTGGACTACGGAAAATGTTAGGACGTGTTTGTAAACTTTAGACTTAATTCCTTATTTCTTTAACAAGATCGTAAAGTTGGTATTCTTAATATAATTAATTGTCATGGAAGTGATAATGTTAATTTCTGTCAATCGTCAATTCTATGTTATTCATTACTAAATAAATCATTTTGATAAGAATGTGTGCACCACACACGTTTTCCCCAGTAAATAGATGTATACTCGAAGCTATATTGCTTTATTTAGTGTACATCATTTTTTATTAAAAAACAATCCAAAAAAATAATTGATAAAACAAAAAAAGAAAAGGAAATCCATAGTAAAGACGTACAAACAAACCTTTTTAAATTGGCTCTCCCAATAACGATTGCAGTAGGATGCACGCTCATGCTTGCTTAGCATATTTAACGCAGATGGCATGGAATCAAAACCCGGAAGACCAATCTGACAGTAATTAATTGGTGAAGTACTACAGTTGGTTCTGTCATTAACTCATTCTTAACAACTGACAATAGATATGCTAACAACTTAAAAGTGATTACAGTCACGTTCCATGACTTTCTGGTTGACTTAACAATCAGTCTTTTAATGGAGCATGACAATAGCACATCTCAACTCATTCATGTCTCATGATATTTTCATTGCAATTGGAAATAACCAAGGATGATGACAGCTTTAAAAATTTCATATCATGACTCGTTCTAATGGAGGTTGCAGCAAGGGCATCCGGCTTAAAACATTGACATTGTACTTTTCTTGAACAATTCTGTGCTAATTAATAGAGAGTATTATACAATTATTTGGCATCTGAGAGTACATTGGTATGGTGCCAATATTTATGACAGCTTAGAGTTAATTATCAGTTTTAAGATCATCACTAACCTTTTCAGCTAATACACGCAGGGCTACTTCAGTTGACTCACCAATCTTTTCGTAAGCCTTCTTGTCAGGATTGTATCTTAACACAGACTCATTGCAAAGAGCTGAACACATTGCTATATGAAGAAGACAAGGAGACTGTGCAGGAATGTCAAGCTGTAATACATGAAACTATAAGGACACAATCACAAAATAATAAATGAATACTCAGAAGGAACCTATAAATCACAATTTAGTAATAGTTTTTTCTGAATAGTATTGATAGAATTTAGAATGGAGTAGGGATCACTAGACTCGGTCATAAGACTTTGAACCACATTAAAAGATTGAATCCAATCGATTACTTATTTCAACTCAAGAGCTTATATACTCATTATTTTCTTCTCACTTTTCCGATGTGGGATACTCTTTAAGACTCTCCCTCAAGTGGACAACTGGATACTTTTGAATTTAAATGGTTGACCACTTGCAAATGGACTCCCATCCCCTTGATTTTTTTTTGTGTGCCAACACCTAAAAGACCACGAGTCGTTGGGTATGAACTTCGAGATGAGCAATCGGGTTAAACAGGCCACAAGCCGTCGGATATACATTCCACAAGGACATATGGGCTAAAGAATAGGGTCATTGGAAAAGAACGTCTAGACGGACACCTTTACAAATGAGATGAGTTAAAACTGGCTCTGATACCATGATTGAATTAGAGAATGGGGTAGGGATCACTAGATTGTGCCATAAAACGCTTGGGTTGAACCACATTAAAAGATTGAATCCAATCAATTACTTAGTTCAACTCAAGAGCTTATATACTCAATATTTTCTTCTCACTTTTCCGATGTGGGATACTCTTTAACAAGAATGTCTTTTGTCCGATGAGCAAAACTGCTATTATGTATTCTATAAGTTTCGTTGGGAGCAAATGATTACAAAAGACTAGTGGAAAAGTTAAATTATTTAACAATGACTCACGGGAACATAGCATATTAAATGAGTGTTGATAGTCAGTAATTGTCGTCCCTAAACATTGACATGGTATTCAAGACATTCTTTGTAACATGAAAGGGCTTCTAGGACGTTGCATTGTAAACAAAAATTAAGACTCCCAGAGTGTTGGTGGAAAACTAAGGAGCCATTTGGCTTATATTCTGAAAAGCTAACTCTGCATATTCTCATCCCATAATCAACCAATGCTGCATTTGTTTTAGATTCTCAAAATAACCAGTTGTTGATTCTGTTCTCTAGAATACATTTTTCAGAAGTAATCAAGTGTTCGATTCTATGGAACTAGCTGATTCTGAGAACAGAATCAGCCAAAAAAGAAAAATGAAGCCAAATGAGCCCCCAGTATTGTGGAAACATATCCTGGAAAAGTAAGAATCAGAGTATTGTTTTATACAAAAGTAAGAAACAAAGTGTTGTTTCTTGATCTAGTGCAAAGGACCATTATAGAGCTATGACACAAGGAGTGTGTGAGATCTTTGGATACAACATTTGCTAAGTGAAAACGGTTCATATCTATCATTCCAGCAAAGTTATGTTGTGACAATCAAGCAGCCATTCACATTGCATCTGAGCCTGTGAACCAAGCATATTGATGTTCATTGTCATTTGGTTCATGAGAAGATTCAGTTTGGTCTAACCTTTACAAGTTTTATGAGAATGGATGAACACTTTGGAGACCTTTTTTGTGCTCCATCTTGAGGGTGAATAATATGGAAAGTAAATATTGTGCATATCATAGAGATTTGATTAGAGCATAATTTGTGATTCTATTTCCATTTATCATGGATTACCAGAACAAGGCTCATACATGATCTCTTTTGATTCAAGAATGGTAGACAAATGGACAGAAAATGAAATTTCGGCATTATGGCTTCGTAAGTTTTTAAATGGAAACTCTGAACTAATTTTTTTCATATGGAATTTATGGAGTACACAAATAAGTTCATCACAAAGCTTTATCTGATATGCTCAAGTACACCGAGAGTGGTTATCAAAGAATAGAAATCAGACTAAGTCCAGCTGGACAAACTTTTATTGTTCTCTAGGTAAGTTAATAGAGGTTGTGAATGTAGCAATATAAGCACCTGGACACCCGTGCTGTCAAACACAAAACCCTCTGGGGCATATGTTGTGCCACTAACACTGTACTCAACAGTATCTGGGCCACGATTCACAGAGTGAAGCACACAAATCTGAAAGAGAAAATAGCATATCAGTGCCACTACATAGGTCATNTACACCGAGAGTGGTTATCAAAGAATAGAAATCAGACTAAGTCCAGCTGGACAAACTTTTATTGTTCTCTAGGTAAGTTAATAGAGGTTGTGAATGTAGCAATATAAGCACCTGGACACCCGTGCTGTCAAACACAAAACCCTCTGGGGCATATGTTGTGCCACTAACACTGTACTCAACAGTATCTGGGCCACGATTCACAGAGTGAAGCACACAAATCTGAAAGAGAAAATAGCATATCAGTGCCACTACATAGGTCATTTGGAACTGCATGAAAAGATAAATCACTGGGCATGACCACCAATCAACTTATAGAAACAATATTGAGAAGAATAATACGAACAGTTGGCACAAACATCAAATAAATGCAAAAGATTATGGAATATAAATTAGCACACAAGGCTACATCGTCCCACAACAACACAACATTTCTAAAGTTCATCACATGTTAGTATGTTACCGGGGGTGGGGATGCAATTGTAGGGGGTGGGGGTGTGTTCGGGTCGGGGCAGGATGGGGGGTTTTACCGGGGGGTTTAGGGGGTAGGAACCGTCAATTTTACAAACGGGGCACTGGAGCACCCCCGGGTAATCCCATGACATTGATTCTCAATGTATTAGAAATGTATTAAAAATGCCAGCTCATTTTTTAAAAGGCCCAGAGCCAGCAAGGCGAGAAAGGCGAACAATTCAGGCGAGAAAAGCGAGCAACTCAAGCGAGAAAGGCTGACACCGACTCGCCTGAACATCGCCCGGCAGAATAAGGTCGCCCGGACGCCTGAGGCCCCTTAGGCGAGAAAGACGCTCGCCTTTCAAAACGATGAGACTTTAAACGGGTTCTGCATACATTCGTGCAGTCAAAGATATGTACGATGAGGCAAGGACTAGAATAAATAATGTGGAGGGTCAAGGGTGTCTCTGATCCTTTCCATTAGAGGTGGAGTTACGTCAAGCCCCTTCTTGTTTGCTCTCGTGATGGATGTTCTATTGCAAGGTGTCCAAGGGGAGGTTCCTTAGTGCATGTTTTTTGCTGAAGAATGAAGATATTGTGTTGACCGACAAGACGCGTGAGAGGCTAAATGAGAACTTGGAGTTATAGCATCACTCCTTGAATTTTTGGTAATCTGGAATGCTGCTTAGTGGTAGGGCGACTATATTGGATTTAGAAGTTAAGATTGAGTCACACCCCTTGCCTAAGAGAGACAAGTTTTGGTATTTTGGTTCTATCATTCAGGCACATGGGGAGACAAACGGGGATGTTGTTCACTGTATAAGAGCTGCTTGGGCAAAGTGGAAGCTAGCTTTAGGGGTTCTCTATGATAAGAAGATTCCAGCAAGGATGAAAGGAATTTTTACTAGTCTGTTGTGAGTCTGGCTATGCTTTCCGGAGCGGAGTGTCTGTGGGTTAAGGCAGAGATGCGGATCCAGACGAGGTTGGATAGGATTCACAACAACAACCCAGTTAAATCCCACAAGAGTAGGGTCTGGGGAGGGTGTGTGTACGCAGACCTTACCCCTACTCGAAAGTAGAGAGGCTGTTTCCAAAGAGACCCCCGGCTCAACATCGAAAGTTGCAGTGCTTGACTAACTGCTACTTCATTAATTAAAGAAGAGCAGACAGTTTAGAGATCTATTTTGATTTATTCCATCACACCCCAAAGCCAAAAAATGGTGAAATTTTGGCTCTATGCTTTATTATGTTTATGCTTTTTGTGCTTCTATGTTTCTCGAGCCGGGGGTCTCTTGGAAACAGCCTCTCTACTTTCGAGTAGGGTTAAGGTCTGCACACACACACACCCATACCCTACTTTTGTGGCATTCAGCTAGGTTGTCGTTATTTGACTTGGGGTCACTTGGCATGATTTTTAATAAAAGTGGAAATTGTCTGGTTGAAAATTCTTTGAAGGAGAGAAACAATATGGATCACAAAACCTTTTCTTAAAAAGGAAAGTGGAACAAAAATTTGAGATGGTCCATATAGGAACAAAGGAACAAAACTATGGAATGAAGTAATGGGAGTAAAGTTTCAAAACAATGGATGAATCCCTACCAGTTCATAAGGTTATCAACCTTGTGGCACAAACACCATGTTACAATGTTAGTCAATAGTCGTCAAAAGCTTAAGATACAAAATATTGCAGTAAGGGCAATCACATTAGAGATAAAATTTCCATTTAGTGAAGGGTGAATGCATTGTAACTGATAGTGTTTTTACCTTAGACACAGACATCATGTTAGTTGTCAGAGTGCCAGTCTTATCACTGCAAATCACAGTTGTGCAGCCTAAGGTTTCTACTGATGGTAGGGATCTGACAATTGCATTTAACCGAGCCATTCTTTTTGTTCCGAGAGCAAGACAGCTGTCAAAATATTTATAAAAAAACTTTCACTTAGTATGAAAACAAATCTCATGCAAGAGGTGTACACCAATAATTCCATATGCTCCGCCTTAAAAAAGTATCTCATCTGAGTTTTCTTGGTCAAAATTAACAATATGTGGATAAAATTCATTGAGTTGTGATATGAACATAATAGCAGTAAGTTTATTTTGAACTTCTAATTTTAAATTATCAGGTTTTTATAATATAATTATATATTTATATATAAATATAGATAATAATGGTCAAAGTATTGCATTGCGCTCTTTAAAAAGCCAAATAAGAAACAATATTCTAGGATGGAGAGAGTATAGCTCTTTACCAACATAACAAACATAAGTATTGGAAATTGTAGTTCATTACTCACGTGGTAACAACTGCAGGAAGCCCTTCAGGAATTGCAGCAACAGCAAGTGCAACAGCAATCTTGGCAAACAAAAGAAACATATGTATTAGAGTTAGTTCTTGACATTTTGGCTTATGAAAAGTTGATTGACTTTGGCATTTCTACTCTTTGATTTTTGAAAGGTAGTTCTGTAATGAGTCCTTATATTACTCCGTACATGAGTACCACCTCACTTTAAGGAAGTTTTATAAGATGACTATGTGTAAATTAATGGGTGTAGAATGTGATAATTACACTTCATTAGTTTATGAAAATCTAAACAGTCATACACGCTTCATCCTTTGGTTTTTTTATGAGAAAAAATTCAGTGACAAGCCCATTTTGTACATATCATTGTGTCCTCAATTTATTAATCATCAGATGATTATCTGAAACCTGAAAAGTAATGTGCTAGAAATATAATTGCTGCACTAGTTCATTCACTGGTGTATGATTTTTTTGGAGCAGGGAAGCAGTTGCAGAAAAGGGGCCAAGTTTCCCTTTCCGGAAGCAGAATGACCCTTCTGCAGTGTGTGAAGACTAAATTTGTGTGGGTGGGGGTCCAAATTGAATGACTCGAATGACATCAAAATTAAGGCATCAACATTCATGAAGGAAACCTTTTAAAGGCAGACAAAAATTAGTTACAAGCCATACACATATTTAACTAAAGTGTTGAACAACCCCCAAGAATTCAGCTAACCACTCTAACCAACTGAGTTAGCTTAATATAACAGAATTAACTAACTCCCTTCTGCATATGTACTGTAACATACTATCCCTATTGAACAACCACGTCCTCGAGGTTGAAAATCTGATTGCCAAATCTTCAGCCCATTCCCAAGTGGCATCTTGTGGAGTTTGCCCAGACCAGTGAACCAAAAAACTGAGTTTTAGCAGAGTTATTGTCTTTAGTTGCCCGTCTAGCTAGGACCCTTTCTGGAGTAGGCATGCTATCAGTGGTTGGGCCTTGCAGCCGAGAGGGTAAGTGTGGCCCCATGGCACCCCCAGAATATGGGGCAAAAAACTGCAGAGGAGCAGGATCTGAAGCGATGGCAGCTACAAGAATTTGAACTAATTGTGCCACAGTTGTGCGTTTCTGTCCAATCGCTACATAGGCACAATAAAATGTCTCGCTCTCAGAGGAGGACATCAGCTTGGACTTGAAACGGACCAGAATACTTGCCATGTAACTTCTCATTACTCCTGTTCGTTAGAGTGGCTTGTTTGTAAGCCTGAAACTTGAGCCATACCCAATCCACAACTTGAAAACTTCTGTCGGTTCGTGAGAATCATTTCCTCTTTTTTCCTCTTTTTTCTGCAAATTAAACTTGAGTTGCCTGATCATTTCCTCTTTTTTCTGTTGGGATTTATCCAATACATGCACTCTAGACTCCCCTGGAAGATAGGGAAGGTAGATAGGAGGTGACTGAGTGTACATAACTTCATAGGGTGTCAGTTGTGTTGCACAATGATAAGTGGTATTATACCACCATTCAGCCAAGTACCCATTTAGACCACTGGTTAGGTTTATCACTGCACGTGCACCTCTAATTCTCAAGGCACCTGTTAACCACCTCAGTGTGCTCATCCCATCTGTTTGAGGATGATAGGCAGAGGATAGTAATAAGTCTACTCCATGCATAGTATACAAGCCTTGCCAGAATGTACTCAAGACGAGTGTCCCTATCACTAAGAAATATTGTTAAATTTCCTTCTTTTAATGGGATGTACACACAGCTTTGCCAAAGTTGGTAGACATTATCAAGATAGGATTGAGCCACCTCTAGGGCATAATAGGGTGGGCTAAGCTCATGAAGTGTGCAGATTTACTCAGCACATCTACCACCACAAATATAACCTTCTTACCTTGGGAGTTATGTAAGCCTCCAATGAAATCTATAGATATATCCCTCCATACTTGCTGAGATATTGCTAATGGCTGCAATAAACATGGGGATGTTGTAGTTTCATGCTTGAATGATTGACAGATAATGCAAGTTCTGGTGTAATGTGTGATTTCCTTGTTTAGGCCTCTCCAATAGAATAGATTCTTGACCCTTTTGAGAGTAGCATCCGTGCCAAAGTGACCCCAATTAGAAGAAGCATGTGCCCATTGTAAATAAATAAATAAATAAATAAATAAAAAATATGCTTAAGCAGGGGATCCGGGCCTATAACCAATTACCTCCTCACTTGTTGCTGCTGCCAAGAATAGTGAGGTAGGATGGAACCTTTCTGGTGTTGTAGGGTAATGTCCTGCATATTTTTGTCCAGAATCTGCTGCATTATTATCATGACCCTTCTTATAGAATTTAGGATGGGGTATGGATAACTGGATTCGGCCATAAGACACTTGGGCTGAACCACAATCGATTACTTAGTTCAACTCAAAAGCTTATGTATCGATTACTTTTCTATTCAACTTCCGATGAGGGATAGACTCTAACACTCCCCCTCAAGTAGACGACCGGGCCATTTTGAATCTAACCGGTTGACCAGTTCCAAATGGACTTTTCCCCCCTCAATTTTTTTGAGCGCCCACACCTAAAGGACCACGAGCCGCTGGGTATGGACTTCCAGACGAGCAATGGCCACATGTCGTTGGGTATACATTCCACACGGACAACTCGACTAAAGACTGGGGCTGCTAGGAATGAACGCCTAGACAAAGACCTTAACAAACGAGGTGGACTAAAACTGGCTCTGATACCATGATAGAATTTAAGATTGGGTAGAGATAACTGGATTGGGCCATAAGATACTTGGGCTGAACCACATTAAAAGATTGAATCCAATTGATTACTTAGTTCAACTCAAGAGCTTATATATCTACTCCCTCCGTTTGGAAAAACCCTTCCCACTTTGACTATAAGGCAAAATAAGGAAGTGTAAAATTATAGTTGACTTCTAATTTTGCCCCTGATGTGATGGGTAAAAGTAAGATGTGATGGATTTATTATTAGAGAAAAAGTATGATGTGATAGGTATGGTATGAAAAAGTAAGGGTAAAAGTGGGTTTTTAATAGAAAAGGGAAGTGTTTTGTTGGAAGTGAAAAAAATGAAAGAGGAAGTGTTTTTGAGAACGGAGGGAGTATTATTTTTCTATTCAACTTCCGATGTGGGATAGACTCTAACATGTTTAAAGAGTCATAACTGTTGCAATGGAAAAGAAACCTTCTGCCCAAATAGACATTTCAAACTTTTCTGATTTGTCTTAATGATGGAGGGTTTGGACACTAAGTAGTGTTCATTCGTTCCCACATTTGAACAATTGAACTGAGTGTACTACAGATAGTAACTCATTGTCATTGATTGACAGTTGTTGCCATTTAGAGGCCAAGGTCTTGCTGATGAAGACCACAGGGTGATTATTTTGCATGAACACAATCCCAATATCAAATTGGGAAGCATAAGTTTCTACCACTTTCATTCTTTGGCACCTATTACCCCCATGGCTGGATTGTTATCAACTATTGCTTGTAGGTCAGGCATTTCAAAGTGATCAGCTTCTTCTTAACCTAAAACCTCCACCAAAAAGAGCCGTGTTTCTTTGTTTTTGCATTCAGGTCCCTTCTCAAATGGCTTGTCATGATAAATACCATAAACCTTTTGTCATTTTCAAAGCTCTAATGTTAGCAGGTATAAACCTTGGATTTCTTTGTGGGGGGAAAGTTGATCTTGTTGCTAGAAGGAATACTGTGATTACCTTGAGTGTCGGTGGCATTTGTTTTAGGAACTGATTTAGGCTTGGCTAACAAGGGCATGGCATTTCTTGATTGCAGAATGCAGACTATAGGAATCTAGTGAATCTTTACTGAATCTTTAATGCCTCCATTGCTTTTTCTTGGAATCTAGCATACTCAATAGCCTTAGTCACAGAGGTAGGAGAAAAGGCTTTAACAAATTGCATAATTTGGGGTTTAAGGCCGGCAATGAAACTATCCAGAAAATATTCTTGAGGCATTATGGGCCTCAACTGTAGCAGTAGTCCTTTTAACTCCTCAAACTTATCAAGATGTTCTTCTGAACACCCCATTTGACATAGCCTATTAAATTCTTCAACAATATTACTCCATATTATGCATTTCATCCTTGAATCTAGCACACAGGTCCACAGTGAATAGTTCCCAATTCAACATTATTTCTATTTTGTACATAGTTACTGAACCATATCTCAGCGCTTCCTTTCAGGCATATAGCAGCGAGATACTCTTTTATCTTCATTTATACTTTGCATAATGAAAAGTAGTATCTACATTTTTTAATCCATTCCCTCGGACTACACCTTTCAAACACAGAGAAATCAATTTTAGGATTAAAATGGAATAGATTTCTTCCTTTGATGTGTGTAGAGGTATAAACCAGTTTCCTCCTAAAGTTTGGTTGCTGGAATTTGTTTATTGCAATTTTTGCACCTGCGCAGTTGGGCCTGATCCTCCATTATTTTTCATTGAGCAGCTGCACATTCATCTGGGTCTGGTGCTGTTCTATCGTCTTCTTGATTGCCTCTTCCATTTTGGTTTTCAATCTGGTATAGGCCAGATTGATAGGTGAGCAATCTGGGTTGTTATTATTGTTGTATTGACAAGATTGATGGGTCATCAAGGCGGACAGGATCTGAGGTGTTAATTCCAATGATACAGCTTATAGGAAACTACTCAATTTGAGGGAGGAGAGCTTTAAAAATGATATATGCTCATTAATGGAGGAATGAGAAAGAACAGCGAGGAAACGGAAGAGAGAGATGTGGAAGAAAAGTATTTCATTCATCGAATAATTCTTACAATCCACACGTATTTAAAAAAAGTGTTTAACAGCACCCCATGAATTCAGCTAACCACTGTAACCAACTGAGTTAACTATTTAACAGAATTAACTACCTCCCTTCTTCTCTTTTTTTTAAAGGAAAACTAGATCCCTTCTATGTTTACGCTGTAACATCCGATTTACCCTTTTTAGCCATATTTAACCTAATTAGGTTGAAGATTAAGTTTCGACCCGATGAGTAATAGCTTTTGAAAAGTAATGTGTCAAAGTTCCTCATATAGGTTTAATACAAATAGGTGCGTAAAAATAATTCAAAGTTACCCAACTGGCAGGGATTCCACTCCACTCTTGTTGAATATGACCATAATAACATATTTTGCAGTATCATGTAATAAAAAACAATGCATATTAACAAACCTATTTCACATACTTTGAAATAGTGTATTGCCCCTCGGAGGAAGCCGCCATGAGCAGGATCACTAAAATGACCGATGTTTACAGCCCAAACCAATACACAAATACCGGCAATGACCTAATTTAAACCACCAAAATAAAGTAAGAGTCCAGAATGTTCAAATAAAAGATTAACTAGATCCAGTATGAGGAAAAAATGATATATAAGACTCTATATCATATGAAGCCATTTCAAAATAAGACAACTACAATATTAATCTTACATAGTCGAATACTTAAATACCATGTCCATCTAAATTTATTGAAGGAAAGATATGGTAATGTTATCTCAACCACATCTCCGCTTCAACTTCAAAAGTGTGAATAAATATCAGCAAGCCTTGGTAAACTAAATAGTTTCCAGTGTTCTAACAGTAAATAAGAATCATCCCAAATTAAACATCACACATTCTTTGTTAGGCCGTCAAAACTTCTCTGCTTTCAAGAGAAGTATTATGTGAATCATAATATTTCTCTCCTTTGCATAAATTTCAACCACGCCATTTTACTTAAACTATGTTCAAAATGTATGCAGGACATTTAATTTGGAACAGGAGTAGTTGATAACTAGTAGCCCAATGTGTTTAGTTGTTATGACTAGTGGATGGTGCTAGTTGTTTTGAAACAACGATTTTGCCATTTAGTTTGGAGTATAAGTTAAATTCATTGTTTTGTAAAAAATAATAACTGACAAAAAATAAAATTAGTTTAAATATAAAAAAAATAGTAAAAAATGGGTTTGTATATTTAAAAATTTAGTTTAAAAAATAATAATATAAAAATAATTTGGTAATACAATGATAACAAAACCTTGTCCCAAGTAACTTGGGATCGTCTACATAAGCAGAGAAGGGAATTACCTTCCGGCATTCATAAAAATGTTCTCTCACCAGTTCTCTCACATTCATATTGGACAAATCCTTCCTAATCAACCCCTCCCACATCTTTATGGATCTCACTATCTCACTTTTGTGAAATTCATTTCTCCACATCTAAGCGGTACATCATTACACCTTCTATGTATGTGTCCAAATCACTACAGTTGATCCTTGCTTAATTTATATTCAATAGATGTCAGTTTGTCAGGGATCTAGAAGAGTAAATACTTCGGATCCTATATTCCATGACTAGTTAGGAAGAATTGTTTAATTGCTTCAACGATGATTATATAAAAAAATATAAGCCCCTCTATTCATACTACTCGAGAGAGTCTTGGTGAGCAAGTGAATAGAGTCCTAATATAATACAGAGTACAATATTGCTATTACTAACATTAACTAAAACATAGTACCAGTACTGATAAGATACTATTACAAATTGGCCATTGATCCCTTTCAGGTGGCACCAACTTCCAAGGATTGAGTACATTATCCTGTATTTTCATTACTTCTCTGTCCCTCCAGAAGTACATAGCCAATTATTCATAATCCCAAAAGGCACTCTTCATACCCTTCAGCCACTTCAACCCTGGAATCAATAATTCTGAAAGCGAAAAAGGATTTTCACACCCTGGCACTCTCAACCGGAATCCTTTCAAAATTGCATGACTTTTTTTCAGAAACCTAGAGTGAAGCACCCAAACTTCTTGCTAGTGTCACAGTCCAAGATGTCATAACTCATAACTACTACTGTCAACTAAAATTTCAATGGGGAACCATAAAACATTTCTTGCAATTCTCATAGCTTCTGAATGATCACTCCCAGCAATGGCATGCAATGCGTTCTAAGGAATGTCTTCTGATCCCTAATGAATTGTTTCCTGCTGCATTTCTTCAACATTATCATTGTCTCCATCAAGAAAACTGGATGCAGTTGCATCTTTTTTTCTTTACAGGCACCTTTTGAAAAAGGACCATAGTAGAAAAAACAGAGATCTTTAGTTGTGTTTTACTTCTTCTTCAAGGGTAAAGGCTTGAAGATCGGCTTCAAGCATCATGCGTGCGGATTGAACATGAGAACAGAATTAGCAACTTTATCCTCAAGAGCACCCACATATGCATCGACCAAATAAGTCTCATTAACGTCTAATCTGAACGATGAGGAGTCATATTTTGCGTAGAAGTCTTCTAGCGATCCTGTTTTGTGAAGATGCGTAAATTCTCGCATTGGCTTCTCACGAGGATTGTCAAATGCCGCCCGTGTGAGTCTGTGTACAAGTTCCGGGTAGGGCTATACCTTCGACATTGTTTCTCGACAGAAATGTGTCATTGGAAGCTTGCATCGTTAAGATTCATTGATGTCATGGTTACTTTTGACGCTTCTGGTGTGCCAGCCAGCAAGAAATAGTGTTCAACCATCAAGATCCATATTTTAACGATTGTGCCAGAATATGTTGGAAAGTCAATCTTTGTGAATTGCATTGGCTGACAATATTATGTGCGCCCGTTCTGGTTTCCTGATATACCCCCGGTACCTACGAAAGTCCTTAAACAAATTACCGGATTAATGACTAAATCCTACGATCCTTTTTGGAATGAATTTACCCCTCCTAAACCCAAACCCTTAGCCATAATTTCATTGGATTTTTCCTCACCCTAAAATAAACCCAAACAACCTGTTTTCTTTCTTTACTGCCCAGGCCGTACCCCCTTACCCCCACCCTTTCTCATCAAAAAACACACCCCATTAAACTCACCAAAATGACCCGCAAATATTTCATCCTGTTCCCTTCAATTCTGGCCGAAACACAAGAGCCAAAACAACACATATCATCCCCATAATAAACCCCAACACATGGACCCCCTTTGTTCCCTACCCAAACAGCATACACACCCTCCATTTTAAC